AGATCATCCTTGTGGTTTGGCATTTCACACTTCCTTGATCTTTCTTTTGCTAATACCATGTATTTCACTATCTATGTTTCTCTAAAATTAATATATTTTTAATGTCTTGCCTTAGTATGGCCTCCAGGGAGGGGAGAGAGGAGGTGGGATTTGGGGGTTCTCCAAACTGCACAGAATCTTAGCTTGGGGCTCTCCTGAACCCCTGTGAAGACCCAGCAGCCAACCCCTGCTCCAAGGGGCAAGAAATGGAGCATGGTGTATCTCAGGGGATAAAAGAAGCCTTGTGAGTCATGAGGCCAGTGGGTTTGTGGCTGCACTAGGCCTCTCAAAATCTTCCTCCACCCTTGAGGCACCCCATTCTCACTTAACGTCACACACATTCATTCAAGGATTGCATTGGGGAGAGCAGGGATGGCTGGTTGTTACATGAGATACTTCATTTAATGCTTATCCTGACTTCTGAACTTAATGGTTAGGCTCCATTGTGGTCATAACTCGAGGACTATGTGTATTGTTGTTATAGTTCAGATATGACCAACCCATAGCTCGCGCGAGTTACATGTGGCCCTGGACAGCTAGTAATGTAGCCCCATAAGCTAAAATGAAAATATAAAAAAATATAAGGAAGTTTACTACAGTATTTATATATATGGACTATGTTATATGCTTTATATGAAGCCAAGACAATTCCTCTTCACTCAAGACCAACCCAGACAAGTCAAAAGGTTGGGCAACCATTGTATACATGCAGCAAAGAGGCTCAGCCCACCTATTAATGAGTGGCAAGAGATATTCATTCTTTTTAAAGTAAAAAAAAAAGATTTCTTGAGAGATGACTGCAGCAGGAAAGACTCACTTCTACATTTAGACTACATCTTAAAGAGTTGGTGGGGGAAGATATTTTGTTTCTAAACACCCCTCTGATTGGTGTGTCTTCCACTTATGACCACAACTGAGCACAATGTTTGCATTCCTAAGTGAGGCAGTTAAGTGAGTTGTACCCCATTTTATAACCTGTTTTTTGTTAGTTTTTAATGAATCATGTGGCTGTTAAATAAACTTGGTTTTCCCTTCAACTTTAGTTTGTAGGAAGCTTGCTGGAAAAGTTATAAATGTGATCATATGATCCCAGGAGAATGAAACTGTTATAAAAGCCTACCAGTTGCCAAGGGTCTGAATTTTGATCATGTAACCATGGGGAGGATGCAATGGTCCTAAGTGTGAAACTGGTCATAAATTACTTGTTCTGTGCCCTTGTAACTTTGAATGGTCACTAAAGAAATGATTGTAAGTCAAGGACTACCTGTGTAACATTTTTTGGTGTCATTCATTAAGCAAACCCTATGCTTGCTTGGGCTGTTTTTACCAGAAAATGAAATTAAATGCCAGTTCCTAGCAAAACCATATGTACCTCAGGATACTGCAAATGGTGGTAAATGCAGGCTGGATGCCCAACACACAAAATGTAGTCATATGACTGTGGGGGAGAGGGGCAATATTAGAAATTCAAAACTGGGTTGTAAATCAATTTTGAGTGCTCTGTCATTAATTCAAACAGTTACCAAGCAACTGGTCATAAATCAAGAACTACCTGGGCATCGCAATGTCAACTCCTGCAAAGCCGTCTTTTGTTTCATTCCTATTTCAACTGAGGGCTTTATGCAAATCACAGGGCACTGTGCCTCTCAATTAGCCTTTGGCTTTATACCACACTGTATTAATGCAGGCCCCCTGAGGACATTTTCACACCTGTGTCAAATTGACCTGTTGAAGGCCAGGAACAGGTGGTTTAAGTGATACTGCCACAGTGGCATTAAAAAAGCATGTCTCCAAAGAAGCATGTCTTGAATTAATGGGGTTAGCCTCAGAACTGTCATGCCTCTGGTGGAGACTGACTCTGAGGGAGAGGAGGAACAGCCTACAGTGAATGGAAGTGTGACTCTGGAGGTTGTCGTGGAGGCTGGGGAAGGGTAGAGGCCGGCTGAGCAGTCAGAGGAGGACTCAGGCCCATCCCCTCTCCATCCTACGGCACGCAGGGAGGAGAGGATAAGGGAGAGATGTGGTCTACAGGGGAGGAGAGGGCATTGATCCTCTTCATGGGCTGCAGATGTGACAACTGGATAAGAGGATGGACATGCGTAAGGGCCAGTGCTGGAAACAAAGCATGGAAATATCTCTCGTTTATTGTTCCCTTCTGAGTTTGGTATCCTTCCCAGTGTGCGTTCTGATATCTGTGAACGTCTTCAAGCCCTTATCTTGCCTGGTTTGTGTTGTTTTTTTACTCTTTATAATTTAAACAGCATTTCCTCCTTCTTGTAACTGCTCGTGTGGGAGTTTTTTGTCTCCAGTCAAGGATATTTGGAGCTTGGAAGCAAAATGAAGGAATAAAAGGGGCTTCACCTGTTTTTTGTCACTGTGTTTATTTTGTATCCCATCTTGGGTCATCACAGGAACTGTTTTAATTGACAGGTTTGACTTCTGTAATTGGCACATGTCTTTTACCTCCATTCTGTCTCTGATGTCTGATTAAACTGACCGGTCTTCGGGAGTGTGTGTGTGGGAGGAATTCTGGTATATGTTACAGGCTATTTTTTATTTGCTGTGCTTTCTCTTGTTGAGGCCTGGTGCATTCCTGGATGTATCTGTAACCAGTATTACCATAGCTAAAAAACAAACTTGAAATAAATCCATCATCACCCATGCTTTGTTTTGCCTAATCTGAACCTAAAATATTTAATTAAAAATTGATTACTTGACCCAAACAGATTGACCTAATAATAATAATAATAATTCTTAATGATGTTGCATGAGAGCTTCAAAAATACATTTATGAACTTTAACAGATAGCAGAACTCTATTTACAACGTTGATAAAGCCAAAATTCTATTCTAACCATATTTAAATATCCTCTGTAGCTGTTGCATGTCCCAATAAATATTAAATCAAATTAATCTAATACAATATTCCATCTTACTATGCCCCATGCTATAAATGATGTTAAATAAATAAAAGCTACTAGATATGGAAGCTAGATAGCATAACAGATAGGGTAAGAATACTTTTAAACAAATTCTATGAAAGCCATTATTTCTGCCTCTCTTTCACAGCAGCCTCCATAGTAAACTGTGTTGTTGCAAAAATAATGACATGAGCACAAGGGCATTAATCATGCAAATGTCAATTCTTAGAATATTTGTGTCCCAATATCTGGCACAGCATTCAGTACTCATTCAATTATGTTATCATGCACATCATCATTTATTCTCCTCTTCTCCCAGTAGGCATGGCTCATGATGTAAATAGCGCTACTTCAACATTTGTGCTGGGGCTCAGGTATGAAAGGGTGGCATTCTTTTATGACTTAAACTTGTAGACTATAATGAAGAGTTTTATGCTAAAGTGTTCTGACCAAGGCTTCCTGAGACAGTAACAACCACACGCTGTTCCCAAAAACCTTTTTTTAATTATTTCAATGGCTGTGAATTATATGCATTCACAGCCTGTAATAAATCCCAAACAGTTTATGAATAGTCCAACAGAAGTCTGACACAGTCTTTCGAGATAAGGCTGATAAGCACCCACCTTTATCTCCCTTGAAATGCTGCCAAAGACTAAATTGCCAATTAGCTGTACAAGGCCAAACGGAGCACAAAGTCAGCAAGGAGCTTCAGATTTTAAACCGACCAGAACGAACAAAATTGCTTCCTGCAAAGGCTCATGTCCCTTTGCTCCTCCTTTATGTCTTATGGGAAGGGCCAATCATCTCCAAGCCTTACTCCCAAGTCGCCCCTTTTGTCTTAACTGTTCTTGCCTTCTGACAGCTCTGCGCAAGTGTGCACTGGGAACAGGCTCCCCCTGTTCCTCTGCCTTGCTGATGTCAGATTCTGGATGCTCCAGAGTCAGCACACAACTCTCAGGTGGCCCTGGCCCCATCTCTGTGTTGGATGGAGATCCCTCATCTGAGTCCTCCCAGACTCCAGAACTGGCCCATGTTCCTCCCCACTGTCCTACTCCGCTGCCAGCTCTGCAAGTCGCCGGTGGACCACAACATAATGCTTTAAATAGAAAGCGTATCTGGCAGCTTTTTTGGATGATGTTGTTTGAAAAAACCTGCAAGATGAAATCCAATTCTTATCCCATACAGTATGGAAGTTTTGCCGCCATTCCTACTAGGTAGGATTAAAGCATAACATGAAATCACAAATCAGTTTTGTCATTTCAAATATAATTTTATTCCAGAAAGTATTTTTTCCAAGCTTTCTTTAAATTCATTTTTATAAACAAAAACACTGATCAAAAAATGTCATCAGAAATGTGTGGTGGTTTACTGCTTTTCTAGAAATTGGTGCTAGGATTCTGTATAATCCATAAGCCTTGCTAGGCCAGGTCATACAGCTGCAGAAAGTGCATCTGTTACGATTTCTAGAACACCCACTCAGGTCAATTAGTGTTGCAAGGCAGCTTAAGCTATATGACCCAACAGTTCAGAGCTGATGAAATAATTGGCTCTCTTTCTACATATCAGTGATTCTGCATTATACAGGTAGTCCTCAACTTATGACGTCAATTGAACCCAACATTGAAATGGTATATAGGATCTCCTGGCAGAGCAGGGAACTGGACTAGAAGACTTCCAAGGTCCCTTCCAGCTCTTTTCTATTCTATTTCCATTGCTAAGCGAGACAGTTGTTAAATGAATTTTGCTCCATTTTACGACCTTTCTTGCCACAGTTATTAAGTGAATCACTGCAGTAGTTAAATTAGTAACACTGATTGTTAAGGGAATCTGGCTTTCTCTTTGGCTTAGCTTGTCAGATGGTTGCAAAAGGAAATCACATCATAAATATGAGCCAGTTGCCAAACGTCTGAATTTTGACCATGGGGGTGCTGTTAAGTGTGAAAAATGGTCGTAAGTCCTTTTTTTTTCAGAGCCATTGTAACTTCAAACAGTCACTAAATGAACCGTTGCAAGTCGAGGACCACTTGGGTTCGGATATTAAACCCTTAACAGGAAGCTATGGTTTGTGGGTTCATCCTGACATTACTTGCGCTGGTTTTGGCCAAGTGTAGGTCACTATGAAGTCTGCTACTGAGCTGGGCAAGTAAGACACTGGAAGGTAGAAGAGTTTGGCATCCAATCCACCACTGTAGCGAGCACGAGGGTAGCGGGAGGTCAGGGCATGCTCTATGCAATCAGTGACCAAGAAGAGGTTCTTGTTGCTGTTTTCCCTGAGATTTTGGAAGAACTTCAAAACTGTGTGAAGAAAAAAAAGAGAGTAAATTCTACAATGACTTACTAGCCACTTGAATCTTTTGATAATTCAAGGAACCAACTGCTACTTGAGAGCCAGCTTCTAACCAAGCATTCCCTGACCTGGTGTCATTTCTTTCCATAATTATTCAAGACAAGAGTTCCAGCTGGACAGATGAGGATAATGCTGGGTTGTAAAAAACCACAATAAATCACTGTCCCACATGGTGTGATGGAATGTGCACTTGGAAAAGTAGTAGTGAAGGGAGGGCGGGGCTGACATAGCAGTGGAACGACAGCAATTCCGGAGCTCCTGGGAAAGCCGCCGAAACCCCCACAGCTGGACAGTCACTGTCCCGGAGCGATGGTGAGTAAAGGGAGCACATCCTGTCAATCCCAGGGACATCACAATGTCCCTGGTTGATCCAGGAAAGCTCCTGAAATTTGGCAGTGGAGGGAAGTGGCTATTAAAGCTGCTAGAAAGCTGTGACAGTCCCAGAAAGAAAGATCGGAGGTTTGGGTGAGAACTTCCTTTTTTTTTCCTACCAAAATCAGAGCACCCTAAGGGGAAAGAGTGTTTAGAAGAAATAAGACAGAAAAGTGGAGAACAGCGGTGAAATAGAACATAATGCTAGCTGTCAAATGTTATTTGGACTATTTTAAACTTTTTTCTTATTTTTTTAAATATTTTTTTTTCATTACTGGACTGGATTTTCAAATAAGAATTAATTGAAGATTACTTTCAATTTTTATTGCTAAACTTAAAACTATTTTTCCCTTTTTACTTTTACTTTTCAAAAGGATACTTGATTAGAACCTATTGGATACAGTAGAAATAAATGAGAAAGATAAGCAACACTGCCATCTAGAGGTCACACACACACACACACACACACACACACACACACACACTGCTGAAAAAAATAAAGGGAACACTTAAACAACACAATGTAACTCCAGGTCAATCTGTGAAATCAAACTGTCACTTAGATAGCAACACTGATTGACACTCAATTTCACATGCTGTTGTGCAAATGGAATAGACAACAGGTGGAAAGCATAGGCAGTTAGCAAGACATCCCCAATAAAGGAGTGGTTCTGCAGGTGGTGACCACAGACCACTTCTCAGTTCCTATGCTTTCTGGCTGATGGTTTGGTCACTTTTGAATGCTGGTGGTGCTTTCACTCTAGTGGTAGCATGAGACAGAGTCTACAACCCACACAAGTGGCTCAGGTAGTGCAGCTCATCCAGGATGGCACATCAATGCAAGCTGTGACAAGAAGGTTTGCTGTGTCTGTCAGCGTAGTATCCAGAGCATGGAGGCACTACCAGGAGAGAGACCAGTACATCAGGAGATGTGGAATTGGCTGTAGGAGAGCAACAACCCAGCCTCAAGATCGCTACCTCCGCCTTTGTGCAAGGTGGGACAGGAGGAGCACTGCCAGAACCCTGCAAAATGACCTCCAGAGGGCCACAAATGTGCATGTGGCTGCTTAAATGGTCAGAAACAGACTCCATGAGGGTGGTATGAGGGCCCTACATCCACAGGTGGGGGTTTTGCTTACAGCCCAACAATGTGCAGGACGTTTGGCATTTGCCAGAGAACACCAAGATTGGCAAATTCACCACTGGCACCCTGTGCTCTTCACAGATGCAAGCAGGTTCACACTGAGTACATTTGACAGACGTGACAGGGTCTGGAGACACCGTGGAGAATGTTCTGCTTCCTGCAACATCCTCCAGCATGACCGTTTTGGCAGTGGATCAGTAATGGTGTGGGGTGGCATTTCTTTAGGGGGCTGCACAGCCCTCCATGTGCTTGCCAGAGGTAGCCTGACTGCCATTAGGTACCGAGATGAGATCCTCAGACCCCTTGTGAGGCCATATGCTGGTGCGGTTCGCACTGGGTTCCTCCTAATGCACGACAATGCTAGACCTCATGTGGCTGGAGTGTGTCAGCAGTTTCTGCAAGATAGAGGCATTGATGCTATGGACTGGCCCGCCCGTTCCCCAGACCTGAATCCAATTGAGCACATCTGGGACATCATGTCTCGCTCCATCCACCAGTGCCACGTTGCACCACAGACTGTCCAGGAGTTGGGGGATGCTTTAGTGTGGGAGGAGATCGCACAGGAGACCATCTGCCACCTCATCAGGAGCATGCCCAGGCTAAATTTGATTTCCATTGATAATTTTTGTGTGTACTTACATGTATGGTATTCAGCTTTGTTCGGGTATTTTCCCACGTCATTATAGTTGTCCTTTTAAAGTTGTAACAACGTTTCAGCAGAATCTCATCTGCCATCATCATACAGAAGCCTGATGAAGCTGAATACCATACATGTAAGTACCCGCAAAAACTTAAGAAAACACACACACACACACACATATATATATATGGATCTTTGGTTATTCGGGTTTTCTCTCGCGTAAAATTGGAAGTATCTAGGCGACATTTCGATGAAGTCTCATTCATCATCTTCAGGCTTGTGTCTTCGGCTTTGTGCTTCTCGGAGTAATGTGAGCTTGCAGCTGCTTCTTCCTTTTAACTGCTGGTGCTAGTGGGGGTGTGACTTGATTGGGTGGGGGCTTGGCTGTGTTCTGATTGGCTGGGGGTGTGTTCTCATTGGTTGGGGGTTTTGCTGTGTTCTGATTGGTTGGGGGGTTGGCTGTGTTCTGATTGGCTGGGGGTGTGTTCTGTTCAGGTGGGGGCTTGGTTGTGCTCAGGTTAGTCTTAGTTGCCGGGGGATTTGAGCTGGTGAGCTGTGATCCTGTTGTTTGGCTTCGTGTTCGTGGTCGTGCCACATCTTCATGGTGGGCATCAGTTCACTTCGTGTATGGGTCAGAGGGGTTTGAAGTGGGTAGTGATGAAGCTGCGATATAGCTTTTGGTCCATGGTCATATCTCATCTTCTGTGTGGGTGTGAGTCTGCTTTCTATGTGGAATTGTGGTGGTAGCATCTTGTGTGGCCCTCGTGGGTGTGGGTCTGGTGTCATTTTTCATGTTAGGTACTTGTTTGTTCATGAGTGTGGGTTTCCAAATGGCTGGTAGATGGGAGGTATCATCTCGTTTATTCATGCTGTGTGGGCATTTTTCTATCTCTATGGCTCCTCTGATTATTCTGTTGTTGAAGTGTTCGGTTTTGGCGATAGTTCTGGTATTTTTAACGTCA